ATCAGGGGATCGGCCCGCCTTCCTGCCCGCCCCCCCACTGAGGGATGGAAGCCTCACACCCCCAGGCCACGTGCCCCTGACCCGAAATGGAACCTGTGCCCTCCTGGTTTAGTTGACCACTCAACCGCTGAGCCACACCAGCTGGGCCCAATTTCAAAATTTCAAAAAATTATATTAGCCAAAGGGAAGAAGAAAAACCCTTTTCATTAACACTCAGTTTAACCAGTCGGGCATACATTTTCCTGGGTCTTCAGTTTTTACTTTAAAAATCATATTTTTTCTTCTTTCTATCATCGTTAGAACCACCTCCTTGGACCCTTTAAAACTCTATCATCTGTTTTATGTAAAACCCGGACATAAGAAAGTTCCTCAAAGCTCCGCTCTGACCAGCAGTCCCTTGCCCACCATCCGGGCTCCGGCCCCCACCCCTTCCAACTCTGTTCCTTTAAAATCCACTCTATTTTCATAAATAGTAAGTGTATTCGGCTATTTCCTGACTGTTTCCTGCTGCAGGTGAGGATTGAGCTCTTTGGGACACACACAGACGCAGACAAACACACCCACACGCCATCCCCAACCCCGATCTTTTAAAAACTGCAGCACGAGGTTGAAATTCACGATTTAGTGATCCATGTACCAATGACCGGGGCACGGGTTCATGCACATTGGAAAGAAATTAATTCGAAGGTGGCTGGCAGGGTGGGACCAGGACTGATGGTCTTGACATGCCCTGGAGCCAACCCCCCATGGCCCCTCCCCGGCCGGCCGCACCTGGGGTGGCGCTGTGGCTGGTGGCTCGAAGGGCGTCTGCGGAGTGATGGGTCTGGAGTGCGAGAGGCACTCTGCAAAGTTGCTGTCGTACAGGGTGTGGAACGCAAACGCACGTGTGCATTAAAACCAGATTCGGGGAGACAGAGCCCCAGCAACAACATAACCCACGGCCGAAGGTGGAATCACGTGGCCCCATGAGAAATCGGGCTCCCTCCTCTCTGGTTTCGGGGTGCGTCACCTGAGAACCACCGCTGCCAAGTCACTGCAGCTTGGCAGCTCCTGCATTGAAGGTCTGCCCCCTGGTGGTCAGTGTGCATCATAGCGACCGGTCGGACAGGTGGTGGGACACTTAGCATATTAGCCTTTTATATATAGAGATTGTTGCAACAGATATTATCATTATGTAAACAAGCTGTCTTCATGCATAATGTGTCTGTTGCCTACATCTTCTTCCTAAATTTCTTTTTTGTTTTCTCTGAACTTGATCACTGATTTGTTTTCTAACTGAATTTCCTGGAAATTCTTTTCCCTCTACTCAGTTTTTTTTTTTTTTTTTACAATCCTCACCTGAGGATATGTTTTCTATTGATTTGAGAAAGAGAGTGAGAACAAGCAAAAGAGAGAGAGAGAGAGAGAGAGAGAGAGAGAGAGCGCTCCATTGGTTGCCCCCTTGTTTATGTCCATCAGCCTTTGGAGAAACTGATGTGTTATGACCTCGTTTCCCTTAAAGCCACAGAACGACGGATGGCGCTGGGTCCGACGTGCTGTGCTCAGAACCTCGGGAGGAGATAAAACGGGAGCCCCGCACGTGCTGAAGACCTGATCCGCCTGCTATGCTGCCAGCCCCGAGGACGGCGCCACGGGAGCGAGCGCTTCTGGGAACCCCGCTCCGGTTTTTCTAGAGCTCCCCGAGAACCCGCCTGCGCACTGCTGTCCCATCTCCCTCCGACCTCCTTCCGTCTCCTCCTACGCAACCTTCGGGGACGGGGAGATTCACTGTCCCCCGTTGCACGGAGTAGAATGACTCAAGGGGTCCTTCACACTCCGTTCCCGCGCAGACACAAAAGGCCAAACAGAAACCCACAGAGGATAGTGTGCTGCCTCTGTTGTCATTCCATCCACCACGAACAATGGGTTTGGGACCAAAAAGAGACACTTCCTCTGGCTGCATGGGTGCTCCACAAAGAAGTGCGTCCTTTTTGAGTCAGTCATTCTCCTTCCTCCACACGGAATCTGTCGGATTCCGCGTTCCCAGCATTTCCTGTTTCCCTGTTAGTGACTTTTCCTGCGGGAAGGAGGCAATGCGGACACAGCACGGCCGACCTCGGCGGCGTCTGTCCGTCTCCCTCAAGAGCCACGACTGCACGGGGACATTCGCCACATCAGCCGTCACCAGGCAGACGGGAGCCAGTGCGGCGCCCGCGCTGCAGAAATCAGCGTGTGCTGTCCACTGTCATCAGACACACAGGAGGAACAGTGTCGACAGAGAGAAACAGGATCACTCTGCTTGTCTTTCACCTGATACACGACAAAAAATTAGACTATAAAGCTAACCTGGGTTTTTTCTTTTTAAAAAAAATATACTTCTTATTGACTTCAGAGAGGAAGGGAGAGGGAGAGAGAGAGAAACATCAATGATGAGAGAGAATCATGGATCGGCTGCCTCCTGCACGCCCCACACTGGGGATGGAGCCCGCAACCCGGGCCTGTGCCCTGACCGAATTCGAACCGTGGCTTCCTGGTTACTACGTCGACATTCAACCCTGAGCCAGGCCGCTGGGCTCCACTGCTGTTTTTAAACCCTCTTTTCCTGACGGTTGATGACCGAGGGGATTGGAAAGAATCACGAAAATCCCTGGCTGCGAGGAAGCCAAGGAAAAGGTAGACGACACCCCCTCCCCGCGGTGCCCTTTGCAGCAAGCAGCGCGGCCCGTGACTGGCGGGCGAGACCGAAAGGGCAGAGGCCACCTGGCGGCGGTGAGGAGCCGGGGATGTTTGCACAGCGCAGCCCGCTCATGGCGTCCGGGGCGCAGGGAGGCGGCGAGCGGGATTTCATCCAAGTTTATCCGAGGGCCTCGTAAAGGTCAGGCTCTGGAAGGACGCGAGAAGTAAGAGGCAGCTAATCCTCAAACACACGCTGCTCCGGCTGCAAGTGTGTGTGTGGGGGGGGGCGAGGGGGGGGGGCTCCAGCACAAACGGTGGGTGGGAAACGAGGAACCCAGGCCGTTTCCTGTGCCCCCAGCATCGCCCGGGGCCACCCCGTTATCTGCTCCCGAGGGGTTCCTCGACCTGGGCGGTTTTCACAGGCTCCACGTGGGGCCGTTCCCATGGCAGTTGGTGTTGGAGAAGGAAGTCACTTCCCAGACCTCCTCGGCCCTCCCCTTCCTGCAGCCTCTGTGCTGCTCCCCGGGGAGTCTCCCCTTTGCTTTTGCATATTTTGGGATGTAAATAAGACCTGTTCTTGGCTGTTGGTGGCAAAAGGAATTCATGCAAATCTGTGACTCGCCCCCTCCTCCCCCCCATTCTTTTGACTAAGCAGGCAGACTTTCTTTTTTGTTGTTGTTAATCCTCACTTGAGATATTTTTATATTTTTCCATTGATTTTTAGAGAGAGTGGAAGGGAGGGGGAGAGACAGAGAGAAACATCGATGTGAGAGAGGCACATCAATGAGTTGCCTCCCACATGCGCCCCAGCCAGGGTTGGGGATCTAGCCTGCAACTGAGGTATGTGCCCTGGACCGGAATCGAACCCAGGACTCTGCCAGGTGCTCCCGCTGCAGAGGTTCCTCCCCGACCCGCAGACGGGGCCGTGGAGAAGCGCCGTGAGCCTGTAGCACTAGGAACGGCCTCCCACGCGCCACTGACTGCGAGCCTGTTTGTCCTCCAAGATATTTAGAATGTAAGCTCCCATCTCCCATGGCACACACGTGACCTCCCTGCCAATGACGGGCACACGAGTGACGTCATCCACTGCACACGTTCTCTCCACTCGAGAATCTCCGCACGCAGACCCTGCAGCAGGGGTGGCTACACACCTGCACACGCTCCCGCCTGCACCCGCACACGCTCCCCCTGCCCCCGCACATGCTCCTGCCTACACCTGCACACGCTCCCACCTTCTCCTGCACACACGCTCCCGCCTGCACACGCTCCCCCTGCACCTGCACATGCTCCCCCTGCCCCCACACATGCTCCCGCCTGCACCTGCACACGCTCCCCCTGCACCTGCACATGCTCCCCCTGCACCTGCACACGCTCCCCCTGCACCTGCACATGCTCCCCCTGCACCTGCACACGCTCCCCCTGCACCTGCACACGCTCCCCCTGCACCCGCACACGCTCCCCCTGCCCCCACACATGCTCCCGCCTACACCTGCACACGCTCCCGCCTGCACCTGCACACGCTCCCCCTGCACCTGCACATGCTCCCACCTGCACCTGCACAGGCGACTGCCTCACCACACCTTCTCCTGCACAGGTGCACAGGATGCACAGTGCAGGCTGGACCCTGCCTGTGTCCCAGCCTGCACAGCACCACCTGCTGGCCACTGTCTCCCTCTGATCCCAGGCACCAGGCACCAGAGCTGCCTGCAGGGAGGGGCCCGGCAGCTGTGCCCTCTCTTCCTGGCAAGCCTGGTGCTGCCCTGGGTGTGAGGAAGGTAAGGGCAGCGCCTACGTCATGAGCACGCTGGGAAGATGGACTTAGGTGAGATGACATATATAAGGTCTCACACGATGCCTAAAACACAGCAAGAATGGAGCCATTGCTGGGGCCGCGCCTTCACTTTATTTAATACTAGAGCCTGGTGCACGGATTCGTGCACAGTGGAAGGAAATTAATTAGAAGAAATATTTTAATATCGCTATTCGCCCTTTCTCTATAACAGAAGTGTCAACCAAATTCATGATCGACAGTGACAGATCGAAACACACGCGTGCGATTGGCACCAGCGAGAGCTTTATATGTATCATGCATGCGCAAGTCAACTTAGCCTTTTATAGACATAGAATAAACTTGCTTAGTTAGACCTACTTTCTGATTTAGCTAAACTTTTTCCAGCCCAGTGAAGAACTCCAACTTCTCTTTCAGGTAATTGTCAGCAACACAGCAGTAAATATCAACACGAAGCAGACTATTATTGTAGATCATGCAGGGAGAACACAGGGTGAAATATTTCACTGCAGCCGTGTCTGACCATATTCTGAGCAGCGAGAAAACCTGAAGTCATTTTCAAGGTCCACCATTTCTTACTTCTTTTCAGTCGGGTCAAGTTTCCAAGCTTTCTAATTCTCCGTTTTCCAGCCAATGAAAAGAAAATAGGATTCTACCGAGTCTCCTGTCTACCTACTCCAGGACTTCTGTGAGGATCACATGATATGAGGCAGGGAAAACGCTTCACAGACATTTGGTTACAGTGTGAAATGTTTGCACCTGGCTATGAAGAAACTGCAAGGGGGCTAGTTGCTAGGGAGAGGAAGCCGGGCGTTGCTACGTGACGTCATTAACCGGATGGAGGGAAGGACACTTAGCATATTAGCCATATATATACATATTTTTGTTGATTTCAGAGAGGAAGGGAGAGAGAGAGAAAGAAACATTAATGATGAGAGAGAATCATTGGCCAGCTGCCTCCTGCACACCCCCCACTGGGGATGGAGCCTGCAACCTGGGCCTGTGCCCTGATCAGGAATTGAACCGTGACCTCCTGGTTCCTAGGTCGATGCTCAACCACTGAGCCCTGCTGGCTGGGCTCAGGTGACTTTTCTGCGGAGGAAATTCTCTAGAACAGCGGTTCTCAACCTGTGGGTCGCGACCCCTTTGGCGGTCGAACGACCCTTTCACAGGGGTCGCCTAAGACCATCCTGCATATCAGATGTTTACATGACGATTCATAACAGTAGCAACATTACAGTTATGAAGTAGCAACGAAAATAATTTTATGGTTGGGTCACAACATGAGGAACTGTATTAAAGGGCCAGAAGGTTGAGAACCACTGATCTAGAGCTTGGAAAATCTTTACAAGGAGCAGACCTTCTCTCCCTGTGATGGGCCCGCATTCAGAGCAGGGAGTGAGTGGTCTGGAGGGGTGGTTCTCAAAGTGGGGTTCACCTGGGGACCTGCTGAACTACAAATTCTCAGGCCCCTGACCCTTCAGCGGGGAGCCAAGGAAAATGTGTGCCAACAAGGCCCTGGGGCGATTCTGATGCCGCTCCAGCGTGGAAACAGTGACCGGGCAGGCAGTGCCCTCACGCATGTAACATGTCACTCCCAGCTGGACGGTCCACGGAAGTGACACGAGGGCCGCGGTCCTGGGAGGAGGGGAAGAGCCAGCACAAGAGACGCGCCACCTCCCGGAACAGCGCGGCGTCCCGGTCCCACGCGGTCTCTGCCAACGGGCTCGCTCGCAGGAGGACAGCACTCACCCCTCTCACCGGGAGCTCGCAGAAACGACCGCACTAGCGACCAAACACGGGAACACACGTGGGAGCCGGCACCCACACGGACACGACACGGCTGACAAGTTCCAGGGGAACCGGGACACGGTGGCGTTACCCCGCCCGTGCGGCCGGAATAAGTGCATACTGAGTCTTTCGTTCTAGCTGATAGGGAAAAAGTCTTTTAAAATGTGAAGACGCTGATCCGGCCGGTGTGGCTCAGTGGTTGAGCGTTGATCTAGGAACCAGGAGGTCAGGGTTCGATTCCCAGTCAGGGCACAGGCCCAGGCTACGGGCTCCATCCCCAGTGTGGGGCCTGCAGGAGGCAGTCGATCCATGACTCTCTCTCATCATGGATGTTTCTCTCTCTTCTTCTCTGAAACCAGTAAAAATATATTTAATAAAATAAAATGTGACAACCCGAACTCGCTCATTCTCTTAGGAGCCAGCGTGTCCGCGGGAGCCAGCCGTGTCCTCTCCCTGGGGACCCTGCGCCGGGGACGCCGCGGGGATGAGGCTGCGGACGCTCTTCCCCGACAGCGATGGCAATGCATTCTGGGTTTCTTTCCCAGAAATTAGTCAATAATAAGTAGCTTTCATTTAGGGAGAAACAAAACAAAACAAACAAACATGTTCATAGCAAATGATTCCATCGAATCCATATGCCGTTCATCAGCTTCACAAGGGAGGTGGTCTCTGCGAGCCACTTCTCTGCTCATTCTGTGCCAAACACACAGACTTCGGCCCAGAGCTCCCGGCAAACAGCACGGATTTCAGCCCAGAGCTCCCAGTAAACAGCACGGATTTCAGCCCAGAGCTCCCAGTAAACAGCACGGATTTCAGCCCAGCGCTCCCGGCAAACAGCACGGATTTCAGCCCAGAGCTCCCGGGACCGTGAATGGGAGCAGGAGCACTGAGCAGAGAACCTGGGTTCTGGATGGAAAACACGCAGGATCCTCACCCTGCAGAGGGCGCCCGGTTCCCCTCCAGGCCCCGGGGTGCAGCTCGATCCCCAGTGGGGGGCGTGCAGGAGGCAGCCGACCCATGATCCTCTCTCATCACTGATGTTTCTCTCTCCCTCTCCCTTCTGCTCTGAAGTCAATAACAATATTATTTTTTTAAAATCTGAGGACAATGACGACGTCTCTGGGAAGAACGTTTTGTATAGTGACAAGGTCTCGCTTCTCTGTCCCACATAATGTGCTTCTGGCACGTGGTCCTGTTGGTGGTGGCATCGCCCCCGAAGCGGGGGTGCAGGTGTGAGGACAAGACCGCACGCCGTCTGCACGCTGCCGGGGGCGCTGCCTGCGGATGCCCGTGGGGCAGGCCCTGCTGCCGGCACGGCGGCTCTATCCACTGGGAGAAGTCAGTTCCTGCACCTGCCGGAGGCACGCCCCACCCTGGCCCACCCAAAGGGGGATGCGTTGGAAAACAAAAACTTTCACTTTAAGAAATGTGTTGTTGTTTTTTTTATTGATTTCAGAGAGGAAGGGAGAGGGAGAGAGAGATAGAAACACCAATGATGAGGGAGAATCATTGATCGTTTGCCTCCTGCACGCCCCTCAGTGGGGATCAAGCCCCACAACCCGGGCATGTGGCCTGACTAGGAACAGAACTGTGGCCTCCAGGTGCAAAGGTCGAGGCTCAACCACTGAGCCACACCGGCCGGGCAACTCTCACATTGTTCACAGCGTCACATTCCAAGTCACTGTCCAACAGTGTCCTGCCCCCAGAGAAGGGGGAAGTTTGATATTCCGAGCCAGGTCTCCCTAATGCTTAACCGACGGGGGGGGGGAGGGGTGTAGAAAGATTGGGGACCCAGGTGCTGCCGTCTGCAGGTAAGGACAGCCCCGTGCACAGGTGTCACGGGGCTCAGAAGGTAAACATAGAAAAGGGGGCTCAGCAAACTCAAGGCCCCCCCCAGCAAAGGTGACACCACACAGAGCTGCTCAACAGGCACACAGGCCCGTGTGGCCGTGACTCTGAGTCATCGGGCGCCCCCAGTCACAGCGTGCGGCATCCCTGTCCCAGCGAAGGCAGGTCCTCACGGCGTCCTAACTGTGCAATTCTCCCAGGGAGCCAGCGTGGCGCTGCCCCGATGGCATCGCTGAAAATAAAAGGATGCCGCCCTGGCCGGTGTGGCTCAGTGGTTGGAGCATCAGCCTGCGGACCGAAGGGTCCCGGGTTCGATTCCAGTCAAGGGCACGTACCTCGGTTGCAGGCTCCTCCCCGGCCTGGGCCCTGGTCGGGGTGCGTGCAGGAGACAACCCATCGATGTGTCTCTCTCACACCGATGTTTCTCTCTGTCTTTCCATCTTTCCTCCACTCTCCCTAAAAACCAATGGGAAAATACCCTCGGGGGAGGATTGAATAAATAGGTAAATAAATAGATAAATAAATGGTGCTGATCGGCGAGCATGGGCTGTGAGGACGACAGGCACAGCTGCTGTCGCCCGCCCGCCTCCCAGAGCGAAAGCTGGGGGCGCCTCACCTTCCTGGAGCGCACAGCTCTTCACCCAGCACCCTCCCTGCTGAGCCCACGGCCGCGCAGGCTCCGAGCTCCCACAGGAGCGGCCGGTTCATTGAAAGAGCAATGTTTTCTCTGACACATCCCCTCGGGCGAGGGAGACAGAAGAAACGTAAGCGAGTGGGACGACCTCAAACTAAAACGCCGTTGCACAGCAAAGGAAACCCTCCACGGAACGCAGAGCCAACCGCTAACTGGAGAGCATCTCCGCCGGTGACACCTCTGTAAGGGGGTTAAGATCCAAAACGCATGAAGAACTCATATAACTCAACACTGAAAACCCAAACAACCCAGTGAAAACATGGCCAGAGGACCCGGATACACACTTCTCCAGAGAGGACACACAGACGGCCAAGAGGCAGATGAAAAGATGCTCAAAGTCCCGGATCATCAGAGAGATGCGACTCAAAACAGCAGTGAGATAGCACCCCACACCTGCCAGAACGGCCCCAATCAATCAATCAATCAACCAACAAGGAGCACGTGCGGGCGAGGATGCGGAGGAGAGATCACCCGTGCACTGCTGCTGGGACTGCAGGCTGGTGCAGCCGCCGTGGGGGACAGCGTGGCGTTTCCGTAAAAGACTGGAAATGGACCTGCCTTATGACCCACGGTCCCACTTCCGGGAATTTATCCAAAAAACCCCAAACACTAACTGGAACGCACATGCGCCCCACGGTCACTGCAGTGTTGCTCACACAGCCTCGCTGTGGAGGCGCCCAGAGCCCTCGGGGACGAGGGACGAAGAAGCCGGTGCTGTGTGCATGGAGCCCTCGGCCGCAGGAAGAGGGACAGCTGACCGTCTGCGACAGCATGGAGGGCCTGGAGGGCATTACGCTCAGTGAGGTCAGTCAGTCAGAGAAAGACAAGTGCCCTGACTTCACGTACATGTGGAAGCTGGAGAACAGTCTCAGCAACAAACCAAATGGAAACAGACCCACAGATGCAGAGAACAGACTCATGCGGGGGGGCGGGGGGAGGGTGAAGGGACCGAGAAGCACAGCTGGGAAGTCCCCCCACAGTCACGGGGGGGAGGGGGTGGTACAGCACAGGAAACAGCCAGGAAGACAGTGACACGACGCCCGGGCCAGGTGGGCACTGGGAATAGCGAGGGGAGCCCTGTGTCAAGTACACGATTGTCTGGCCACTGAGCTGTCACCCGAAACCAACACATAATTTAAAAATGCATATTAAAGCCCGGCCGGCGTGGCTCAGTGGTTGAGCGTCAACCTAGGAACCAGGAGGTCATAGTTCGATTCCAGGTCAGGGCACAGGCCTGGGTTGCAGACTTGATCCCCAGTGGGGGGAGTGCAGGAGGCAGCCGATCCATGATGCTCTCTCACCATGGCTGTTCCTATCTCTCTCTTCCTCCCTTCCTCTCTGAAATCAATAAACGTATATTTAAAAAAATAAAAATAAAAAAGCATATAAAGAGTTCAGATGCCCCTGGAAGACACAGGACAATTTAAAAAACCTTGACCACCTTTACAACAAAAACAGCACGCGCCCCTACCTTCTCCGATGCCTTGTCTTGCGCGGGCGGCCCCGCCCCGGGCAGGGACGGAGGAGGCGGGGCTCGGCGCTTCTTCATGTCGGACTTGACGGACACCCCCGAGATGTTGCTCAGCGAGAGCGATGGGCCCAGCGTGATGGAGCGGGAAGTCATGGACGGGGAGTTTGGCGTCGTCAGAGAGCCCTGTCGGGGAGACAGACGGACACCCCATCAGTTCTGTGTGCCTTCTCCCCACCAGAGCTCAGCTCCCACACGCATCGCCTCCATGACCTGCTCAGGTGATTTGCTCTAAACCCAGACAACACACGACGGCGTGAGACCCTGATGCTCACAGCAAACACGCAGCGAAGACGGCCACCGCGGAGGCACAGGAACGACATGTGCTCAGAGCCAACCCGATCCCCACAGATCCTACTATGTAAGTCTATACTTAACCCTGCCTTTCCCTTTCTGTTGTTCCTGATGTTCTTGTTTTCTTTTTCTTTTTTTAAAAAATATATTTTATTGATTTTTTACCGAGAGGAAGGGAGAGGGATAGAGAGTTAGAAACATCGATGAGAGAGAAACATGGATCAGCTACCTCCTGCACACCCCACTGGGGATGTGCCCGCAATCAAGGTAGGCACAGCGAGTCCCCTTGTAACGCCTCCCTCCGGGCCTGCAAATCTAACATTCCTTGTTGGCAGAGCCCCTGCTCACCAAGGAGAACAGAAACGCGTGTCCCGAGGCCCAGCCGCCTGCCTGGAATCGAACCCGGGACCCTTCAGTCCGCAGGCCGACGCTCTATCCACTGAGCCAAACCGGTCAGGGCCCTGTGTTCTTTTTTTAACCTCCTGGGGATGTCCCCCCCGTCGTTATTGTCCAGATCCTCTCCGGGGCCGCTCAGCACCGACTGTGGCTGTCCCTCCTCCAGGGGGCCTCCGTGCTGCCTCCAAAGGACTCAGGGCAGGAGCGTCACCGTGTGAGCCTTCACTAGAGGCCGCCGCTTACGGTGGCTCCTGCGTGTAACTACGGACCATCGGCCTGTCATCGGGCAGCAAAGGGCCCCGCCTCGCTGCGACCAGGGGGCGAAAGGGAATCCCGGGTCCCTGTCACCCCAGAAGGAGGGTCACATGTTGAGAAACTACGTCATCTGGGGTCTATTTCTGGGGTGCCTCCAGCAGAGGGGACATCCCTGCACACAGGGTGTGCTTTTAAAAATATGTCTATTTGTATTGATTTGAGAGGAGGGAGAGGGAGAGAGAGATAGGAACATCGATGATGAGAGAGAACCATGGATCGGCTGCCTCCTGCACGCCCCACACTGGGGATGGAGCTGCAACCCGGGCCTGTGCCCTGACCGGGAATCGAACCTCGACCTCCTGGTTCATAGGTGGACGCTCCACCACTGCGCCACGCCGGCTGGGCTCCACGATCTGATTTTGATTCCCTAATATCTCTGTGCTGTCTTTTATAAGGACACCCTGCCCTTCACTGAAAACGGGCTTTGGGGACAGGGGGGCCCTCCTAGAATCCCCGAGGCCAGAGAAGAGAGCGGGTAATGGGCGAGGCATGCACCTCTCTTAGGCATTGGCCGGGAGCTCGCCGCTCTGCAAACACACACAGACCGAGCTGCCCCCAAACCAAAGACACGCGGCCTTTACGGAAGTCAAGAGGCCACGGCCGTGCGGAGCGCGTCGTAGGTGACGTGATGCCGCGGGGGAAAGCGGCTCCGAGCTCCCGTGTCGGCGAGAAACCACGCTGGCCCCTGCCTGGATGGAAAGGCATCCGCCCCCCGAACTCCCGCGCGCTGCTCACTCTCCACATCTGGACGGAAGGCACTTGGAGCGGCACCAGCCACACGTTTGAAAAGTCTCGTCCACACGGACTGATAATAAAGATCGGTTCTGCATCACAGGCAGGCGGCTGGGCCTCGGGACACGCGTTTCTGTTCTCCCTGGAGAGCGGGGCTCCGCAAACAAGGAATGTTAGGTTTGCAGGCCCGAGGGTGGCGTTCCAAGGGGACTGGCTGTGCTCGTGAAGACACTGCCCCCTTGTGGCCGAGCTGGCTCACCACACCTTCTGGTTCTGGAGCATCCACTTGGGACAGGATGCTTTATTTTATTTTTTTAAATTTTTGAAAATTGTTGACGATGTTACCAATGTCCCCCATTCCCTCCCTTGTGCCTCCCTCCACCCAACGCAGCCCCATGCCAGGCCGCCCCACACTCTGTCTGCGTCCCCGGCGATGCTTCCATGTTCTTCGGCGAACCTCTTGCTGGGACGGGATTCTTCCCCCACAAATGGGACAGAGGGCAGGGTCTCCGACACACAGGGGGCGGGGCGGCTGAAATGACGGGGTTTGCTTTACAGCTGAGTTGTGTTGCTTTTTTATGGACGTCAGAGAGGAAGGGAGAGGGAGAGAGAGAGAAACATCCATGACGAGAGAGTCATTGATCGGCCGCCTCCTGCACGCCCCACACTGGGGATCGATCCCACAGCCCAGGCGTGTGCCCTGACCGGGCTGCACCTCTCGAACCCTGACCACCTCGTTCAGAGGTCCACGCTCAACCACTGAGCCACGCCGGCCGGGCTTTACAGCTTAGTTTTTAGTAACTTGTCCCCAAAGCATCACGTTACTGGTGGGTGCCCCCGTACAGGTCGGGACTCCTACAGGCGGGACCTGTCCTCTGCCCGCCTCCCTCTGGGCCGGGCCCAGGGCGGGCTCACGTCGGCCTGGGTCGGGCTGGGTCCCTGATCTGCATTTGGAAACCAGTTCAGAGCAGTGAGACGCAAAGACCGTGATGACGATGCTTCTGTCACCGGCTTCACGGGGCAAAGGGGAAACGCCCCGCGGCATCGCACGAGGCTCACGCCGATTCACTTCAGAGGGTCGCAGCAGGTGGCTTCTTATTCATCTCTGTTTGGAGAACCTTTTATTATTTTATTTTTTTATGACAAATTGGGTTTATTGGCCAGGAGAAAAGTGCCCAGGGACAGTTTCCTGTCCGTCGGAAGCACATAAACGATGCTCATGCACTCCTTTCCTCTTTATTGAATTTATGGGCGGCACTGCTCAACAGAAGTACACACAGCCCCCCAACACACCCCCTGCGCCCTGCGTGTGCGCTCAGCACCCCGATCACCACCCCGAGCCCAGTCCCATCGGTCACTCTGGGTCAGTCACGGATGGAATGCGGCTTTTGAAACGCAGGCCAGAGGCCCACAGCGGGCAGGGACCGCCGCCCGGAGCGAGGTCCTCTGAGCCGCGCAGGAATTCTCTCGTCTCTCTGGGCCCTGCTCCCAAGGACAGCCGCTGCCACGCCTGGGCTCAAGGACAGACATCCACGCCCTGGAAAACAAGGGGGCTAAACCCACCGACCGGACACCGTGAAGAAACCAGATGTCCGGCTGGGATGATGTTTAAAATAGACGTGTTATTAAAACACATTGTATCTGCAAACGTGAATGGAAACGGACATTTCAATTTCCTCAGACCGATGGTGACGGCGTGGGTCTGCAACAGCGATTCTCAACCTGTGGGTCGCGACCCCTTTAGCAGCTGAACAACCCTTTCACAGGGTTCGCCTAAGACCATCCTGCATATCGGATATTTACATGACGATTCATAACAGTAGCAACATGACAGTTATGAAGCAGCAACGAAAATAATTGTATGGTTGGGTCACAACATGAGGAACTGTATTTAAAGGGCCAGAAGGTTGAGAACCACTGCAGTAGAAAGTGCCAGCAGCGCACTGACTGCTGGGTGAGACCTGACCAAGCTCCTTCCAGCTCCTTCCAGCTCCCGGGATCGCAGCTCCAGGTGAGTAACAGACCCCTTTGCCAGTCACGCGGCTTCCCTGGCTGCTGACGATGCGAAAAGGCCCCGATTGGGTACCGGTGAAAGGTCAGGAGAAGTGACCGTTGTGCCTGGACGGCCCCCGTGGGATCGGCGCGGGCAGGGTGTGCCTTGGCCAGCACGTCAAGGGCCGTTCAGCCTCCACGCTGAGTCATGAAGCTGCTTCCTCGGGGTTCGCACTCTCAGCAGGAAAAGGGATGGAGCCCCCTCCGGAGACCTGCATGGTCCTATTAACCCAGGGGGGGCCCTTTTCCTGCCCAGGGCCAGCTGTGTGTTTATAACAGCATCCGGGGCCACACAAAACCGTCCACTTAAACACCAGCCTGCTCCATGTGGCCAGGCATTTAATTAACGCCCCCTCGTGCACTGGCAGGGCCAGACCAAATGGCTTTGTGGGCCTTACACGGCCCGCGGGCCGGACGTTCCCCCACCCTGCTATTAACCAATGTCACCCCGATAGATTTGATTTTTAAAATGGAAAGGGGCACCAAGTCCACGCGGAAGCTTTCCTAGTTTATCAATAAAACACGGTCACTCGTGGAAATGTGGGACGAGTGAAAAAAACGGCCTTTCATCTATTAAAGAGGTCCTTTCAAGAAAAAGTTACTTTCCCTCGTCACAGTTACAGATGGCCGCTGTAACATTCTACACCGCTCTCGTCTGTGATTATAACCAGAGCTCAACCTAGAGCGCTATCTTCCTACTTGAAGCTTTATGACCATTAGAAAATCTAAGTTAGACAGACACTTATACTTTATGTCCTGTTTCGTTTTAAGATGCGACGAAAGAACTCCAGGCATGAAAACAGACTGTGGAGCAGGAAGTTTGACACGGGCTGGCACGGAAATGTGAAACCAAGAACAACAATAATGCAAATTTCTCACTGTGGCAGGAGAGTCTGTCTTTGCCATTTTTAAGACGTGACAGTAAGAATCAAACTTTCACCAGATCCATTTCAAAGGTCCATGTTTATAAGCTGCTGTGAATTCTTTTCTGTCCAGTGTTTAAAATTAGGAAGAACCTTTTCCTATGCCAACGCGGCCGTGCGGGGCTCGGGGAGTTTTTGAGGCTCTGAGGGTGTAGCTGCGGAGCGAGGAGCAGGTCGATCCAGGCGGGGACAGGCCATGTGTCTCCAAAACCGCCAGCTCCTCCTCTTCAGGGAGGAGGTGACTCGAGAGCGGGCCACGCCAGCCCCCTAGCAGCCCGGCCCGAGGCGGCTGCGGGGAACGAACATCCCAGCGGCCCGTGGAGCCGGGCGGGCGACCGAGCCAGAGCCGGATGCAGCTCCGGCTCCTACCGAGCCCAGAGCGAATGGGAGCCCCACACCCCGATCACTGCAATTTCACCCCCTGGAAGCCGAGCAGAGCCCGCAGCGCTGCCCGCTGAGCCAGGCGCGCCCGCCGGGGCCAGTACTCACGTGGGAGCCCCTGCCCGGCGCCAGCTTCCCGGTGTCCTCGTCGCTGTCCGCCGACAGCCGGCCCTGCTCCACCTGCGGCAGAAGCATAGCACCGTCATCGCGGGGAAAGTGGGTACAGAGCCAGCGCCGTCCTCAGCAGACGCCGGGCACAGGCCAGCCGGCCACTCCAGGCGCCGCATCTGCACCCACAGCGTCCCCGCGGCCTCCCCTCGGCCGAGCCTGAAAGCCGCTCGCTCTCAGGGGCTCGCTGCTCTGGACGCCAGTTTTGAAACCACAGCTCACAGTGGTGACTGTTCTTCCTGTTCCCCAGCAGCGTCTCTTTATTTTTTATTTTTTTTAAATATATTTTTATTGATTTCAGAGAGGAAGGGAGAGAGAGAATCATGGATCAGCTGCCTCCTGCACGCCCCACACTGGGATGGAGCCCACAACCCCCGCCTGTGCCCTTGACCGGAATCGAACCCAGGACCGTTCAGTCCGCAGGCTGACGCTCTATCCATGGAGCCAAACCGGCGAGGGCCAAACCCTCTTCTTGTTAATGAAGAAACACTGAGGCCCGACTGGTCCAGGAACGTGCCGTGTGGGCGAGGGAAGCGCGGGGGCTCTGGACGGACAGGTGGGGGCGGGGCTCTGCGTCCTCCCACTGTGTTAGCTCCGGGCACAGCAGCCGGCCCCTGCGCCCGGAAGATGGGGCGGCCCCCTCTCTCCCAGGTCTCCGTAAGTTAAATGAGATTGACGGAGCAACGCATCTCAAACCCACAAGTGGAGAGACGCAAGGGATGAAGAAGCCAGCCCCAATCAGCAGTCAATGACACAACACGGATGCGACTGCAGGAAGGATGTGGAGGGAGAAATAAAGTTAACGCGAGGGAGAGATCCGCGTGAAAGAAGGGGTGTATGAGGAAGGAACACTTCCCTGGCTGGTGTGGCCCAGTGGATAGAGCGTCGGGGCTGCGGACTGAAGAATCTGAGGTTCAATTCAGGTCAAGGGTAAGTGCCCAGGTTGCAGGCTCGATCCCCAGTGGGGGGTGTGCAGGAGGCAGCTGATCAATGATTCTCTCTCATCGTTGATGTTTCTCTCTCTCTCTGAAATCAATAAAAATATACTTAAATAAAAGAAAGAGAAGAAAACTACTTCTGGCCAGTCCGGGAGAGAGGAGAGAAAGGATGGACAGGGGAAGGCCCTGGCACGGGACAGCCTGTCGTCCGTGGAGTCTGCACAATGGCTCACCCTTTCCGGCCTCGGGCAGAGCCAAGCCAGACTCTAAGGCTTAAACAAAAGCATTTCTAGACGGTTCACTGCCTTTGTGGCAGCTCCTGCCACTGGGCTCATTGGTGGGGATCCGGGCTGTGTCACCCGCGCTCGGCTGTGCCTGCCCCAGCCACTCCCCACCCCCATCCGAGCAGCCTGCCTGCGCCCCGGCCCTGGGCACCGGGCAGGCGGCAGCGGGCACGGGCTCGGGGCCACGGTCTGCTGGCGAATAAACCCCATCGCCCAGAACCGCTTCGGGGTTCGCGTGTGGAAGAGAAACCGTCATTGGGGCGCATCCGGAGAAGCCCCCTTGCACCCGAGGAACTGCTATCCCGACATGTTTGGGAACCGCCCAGGCAGCTCGAGCGCGAACACCTCGGAAACCACGCTGGCAGGAGGCAGTCCCGGCGGCTCCCCTCACCTTGCCGTTGCTTCTTTTGTTCACTTTGAAGAACCCGAGGAACTTCTTCTTCTCCTTATCCGTCTCATCGCTGCCAAAGGAGGACTTTCTGAAGGTTTCTGGGAGGGAAAGAAAGTCCTGTTACTTTTCAGCACCAACACGTCGCGTTAAAAATCTCAGCAAACACACCCTCTCCTCTTAAACTTGGTTTCGTTCTTATAAGAGTAGAACCGCCCACGACCCGCACCCCCAAGCCTGCACCCCACCAGCCTGCACCCGGCTATGAAACACCGGGCCTCGCGCTCGCTCGCTCGCTCGCTCGGTGGGGACGGGGCGTTTCCTCTGGCCGCGCTCACATCCCCGATCCTCCTCCTCGGCTCCTCGGCTCCGCGGCATGCTTTCCTCTCTAGTGACATTCTCCAGAGGCCCATGGCTTGCTTCTCTCTCTCTCTCTCTCTCTCTCTCTCTCTCTCTCTCTCTCTCAGCCTGAAATCCTCAATCTTTTTCCTTCTTCATCAGGATTTAAAAAAAAAATAACTATTTTAGCCCAACAGGCATGGCTCAGTGTCAACCTATGAACCAGGGGGTCAGGGTTTTATTCCCGGTCAGGGCACAGGCCCGGGTGGCAGGCTCGATCCCCAGTGTGGGGCGTGCAGGAGGCAGCCCATCCATGTTTCTCTCTCATCATTGATGTTTCTCTCTCTCTCTCCCTCTCCCTTCCTCTCTGAAATCAGTAAAAATACATATTAAAAAGTAAAATAATAAAATAACTATTTTATTATTTGGGGGGGGGGGTGTTCATTATTAATTTCGTTTATTTTTCCATTGCGGCTGATATTCAGGCTTAGTCTTCATTCGTTCCAGGTGTGAGGCACAGATGTTAGACAACCAGGTCTGCACAGCGTGGTCCCCGATATCCCCGCACCCCCCCGGCCGCCTGCGCAGTTAGCACAGTCTCGTTGACTCGGTCCCAGGCTGGCAGTCACTGGGATTCAGGGTGGGATGGACTGGGCGCTCTCCTGGGCCACGGACACTGCAGCCCTGACGTGTCAGTCGGTGACAGCCTCACCCAGGGCTGTGGTTCTCACAATGAGGAGGGACCGGCACGTCAGCACCCCTGGGACTTGGACCCAGTCCTGACCCCGGAATCGGGAGCTCTGGGGGTGGGCCCAGCGCCCTGCACTCAACACGCCCCAGCCTCAGGGATGCTTGAGGTGTGAGGGAGCATTTGAGGACCAGTGGGGTGGAGCTTACCAGCACCGAGGGGTGGGTGCACTCTGAGCCTCAGTCTGCTCATCAGCAGAATGGGGTGAATGGGGTGCTGCCCGCACAGCCTCAGCCTCCGCGTCTGCAGACGGGTGGCCCGGTGCTGCCCGCCCACTGGTGCCGCACGGCTGCTGACACCATCGCTCGCTGGTTTCCCCTCACCCCCCAGGCCACTCAGGCCTCGGCCATCAGCGCATCCCGTCTTTCTCTCCGAGGCCCGTGGATACGGCAGAAGGAGGAAAACCCTGGTGTCCCTGAAGGACACGACTTCCCCACGGCACTGCCCACGCCCCACGCCCCACACCCCACGCCAGGCCCTGGTGGGACCTCTGGCTGTTCAGCCAGCCGTCCGACAGCAGCAGCTTCTCTTGCTCACGGACTGTGACGCTCCAGTCAGAGACCAGACCCGAGGCAGAGCGGCAGCAACAGGCACCATCCCCCCAACAGCGCAAACCCAGGCCTGGCCGGTGGCCCAGTGGTCAGAGCCTTGTCCCGAAACACCCAGGTCGTGGGTTCGATCCCCGGTCAGGGCACATGCATGAATCAACCAACGAATGCATCAATAAGTGAGCAATAAAACTGATGTTTCTCTCTCAAAATCGATTAAAAAAACACAAAGAAACACAAGCACACACATTTGTAAAGTCATTCTGCACGTGGCGGAGGCTCGGGGTTCAGTCACAAGCGCCAGGGCTCTCGGCAGGTGCCTGCGGCTTGTCATGCACGTCCACTCAGCAGCCATGTGTACATGTGAAGTTCACGGCTAAACACATGAAAGCCCTCCTCAGGCACGGGGCTAACCAGGTACAACACCCTGTTCTGCCGAGGACACTGGCAGCCGCGGGAAGCGTCCGTGTGCGTGTACCTGCCTGCATCTAGACAGGCCGTGTGTGACAGAAAGTAGGTGCGGATGCGGCGGTGCCCAGCAGGTGAGCGTGGAGAGCATGTTCCTGGCACCCCGGCTAGAGGGCCACCCACCAACCCAGAGGCCGCAGGACACTGCGAGGGATCGCGCCTCGGCCCTCTCCCTGGACAGGGACGGGCGGCCAGCACCCACAGGGCTGACTGTGGTCAGACATGACACCCCCCCTGGCGCCAGAACCACGCCGAGTGCTCTTTCACTTGTTTTTCTAGAAATAAGATCTAGTGTTAAACACTCTAACAAACATGAACAGAAATTCTCGTAAACTATAAAAACTCATTGGGATGTTAATGAACTGTGTGTGCGCGCGCAATCCAAAAGGTGCATTAACATCCCAATACGTACGCATGTGTATGTGTCTATGTTATGTGTGCATGCATATGTAAATATATACGTATGTGTGCGCATATATACAATCGATAAGAAATCAGTGTCAGAATAAGTGCAAAATCTGAACTCCTCGTTTTATATTTATGGCGGCAAAGGTTAAACATCACAAACCACGATGCCCTGAATTCTGCAGCAGGCAGGACGGAGCTCAAGGACGGTGAGCGTATGTGAGTACAGGTGAGCACATGTGAGTACAGGTGAGCACAGGCAAGTACAAGCAAGAACAGGTCCACACAGGCAAGCACAGGAATGCACAGCTACAGACAAGCACAGTGAGTACAGGAAGGCACAAGTACAGGCAAGTATAGGCAAGCACAGGTGAGTACAGGTGAGTACAGGTGAGCACAGGGGAGTACAGGCGAGCACAGGTGAGCACAGGTAAGTATAGGCGAGCTCAGGCGAGCACATGTAAGTATAGGCGAGCTCAGGCGAGCACATGTGAGTACAGGTGAGTACAGGCGAGCACAGGTGAGTACAGGTGAGCACAGGCGAGCACAGGTGAGCACATGTGAGCACAGGCGAGCACAGGTGAGCAGGAAACGGCGCCTCGCGCAGGGACTGCTGTCCGCCCTGGAGCCCATTTCCTCACAGCAGCCCCCTGGCTTCTCAGTCAGAACCACAGCAAATCCTCCCACAGACATTCCTTCTCAGCCAACCCGGAGCTGAGAACCAGCGCAGCCTCCCTGGGCCAGCGCCGCCCCCCCCGCCCCCCGGGAGCCACACGGCCCGAGGCCCTCACTCCGTGCAGGTCCCAGCCATGCAGGTGCAGCCCGCGGGGCTCACTGACCTCGGAGGCGCAGGGAGGGCTCCGACTGCGTTTTGGTCAGAAGAACTGGAAAGGCAGCGAGGAGAGAGTGAGGGCGAGCCGGGCCCAGGCCGCCGGCAGCAGCCCCTGACCAGGGCTGGGCGCTCGTCAGCCTCGGGGGGCTATTAGTCAGCCTGGGGGGCTGTCTGTCCATCAGCCTCGGGGGGCTGTCTGTCCGTCAGCCTCGGGGGGCTGTCAGTCTGTCAGCCTCGGGGGGCTGTCTGTCCATCATTCTCAGGGGGCTGTCTGTCTGTCGGTCAGCATAGGCCCAGTGCGGAGCGGGCTGCACCCTGGCCTTGAGCCCCCGGAGCGCAGAGCAGGTGGCCAGGCCAGCACCCGGGAGGAAGGCCCTCCCAGGAGGCAGCCCAGCCTTGGCCGCCCCGGCTCAGCTGGGGCTGGGAGGGAGGGAGCCAGAGAGGGGCCAGGAGAGGGCATGGACGGCCTCCGGAATGTTCTCCTTCCTTCCTAACAGTCAGCTGTCAGCAGGGGGGCTCCTCCGGGCAGGGGGTGATCAGTGTCTCAGCCCGCCTGGCACACGCACAGTCTGGTCCAGAGGACAGGGGTGCCGGCCACTGGGCTGGAGCACCCGCTCCCCAGGCGAGGTGCTGCTCCCCGTCTCCTGCTGGGACCAGCAGGGAGGCCCCGGGAGGTGCCCACGCAGTGGAGAGGGGGACACGGGCGTGGGCAGCTGTTTCCCCGACCACAGAGTGACCACACAGCCGAGCGGCCAGGTGGCTGCCCCACGGGGAGCACAGCGGAGCCGGATTGGGGGGGGAGGTGGTTCCTTGCTGAGCTCGGCCCCGGCTGGACGCCAGGGCTCGCTGGCTGCGCTCCCGAGTGGGAGGCGGTCTTCCGTGACTGTCCCCAGGGAAGATTCTGTGTCTTTCGAGATGCACCCAATGGCCTTGGCCGGTGTGGCTCCGTGGACAGAGCGTCGGCCCACAGACGGAAGGGCCCCGGTCGATTCCGGTCAAGGGCACGCACCTCGGTTACAAGCTCGATCCCTGGCCCTGGTCGGGGTGCGTGTGGGAGGCACCCGATCGATGCATCTCTCGCATCGATGTTTCTCTCTGTCTCTCCCCCGCCCTTCCTCTCTCTACAAGTCAATGGGGAACATCCTGGGTGGGATTAACAGCAAAGACACGCCTGACGCTGCCACACACCGAAATCCTGCGTGAGGCCTTCTCCTCCCCGCGCTCCAACGCGGGACAGCGTGTTTCCTGTTCCCGGCCTCACGGGACCCAAGTTAGAGTGGGTGCGACCTCCACACAGACGCCGCACTCCGCCCGGGCCCGGGCAGGTGCCGAGGGGAGTCTGGTGGTAGTTTAAGAAGATGCTGGCCCGGCCCCAGGACCCGTGGCTCTCAGACGTCAGAGCACGTTATGGAGGAAAAACAGTCTCTGTATCTTGTACTCAGTGGGCTGCACCCCTTCCTGAGCGCCCAGTGAGATCCGGGTTCCAGAGCCTCCGGGGGGGGTCTGTTTCCTGCCCCCCCCTCTTGGACAGCATCCCAGTTGCCTGAAAACGCGCGCACCCGTCCAGCTGGTGCTGCGGGGCGTCGAGCTGAGCGTCGGAGTGGGGGCCTTGCTCCAGCGTGTTTCCGCGTGTCCCCATGTGTTCTGTGTCCCCATGTTTTCCCGTGTTCTCACAGGTTCCCACATGTTACCACGTGCTCCCACGTGTCCCCTCGTGTCCCCGGGGGCCTCACCTCTCTTGTTGTCCCAGGCGTAGAGCTCCTTGATGCCCAGCTCGCTGAGCGACTTGGACAGCTCCAGCTCCTCGCCCGCCACGTTGTCCCTGAGCAGCACCACGTGCTCGGGGCTCACGTCGCACTTGGCGCAGATGACGGGCAGGAGGCTGTGCAGGGGCACCTCGGGGCTCACGCGCACCACGGCCTTCTGCGTCCGCAGGTAGTTCACCACCAGGCGCACGGACTTCTGGGAGGACACAGGGGCGGGGAGCTCGGTGAGCACGTCTGCCCACGGCGGTGGCCGCGGCGTCCACGCCAGATGCAGGCGTGGGAGACGGTGAGCGGCAGTTTCTCCTGCAAGTCGGGGCTCACGAGGAGACGGCCCGCAGGACAGGGAACAGCAGTGCCCAGAGAGCCCCTCCCCGCAGACGCCTCTGCCTGCTGAGCACACGGCTAACGACACGGGAGGGGGCATCGGGCAGGGCTCTCCGTGGACAGCCCAGCACATGCAGGGCCGTCCCCGGGTGCAGACCAGACTGAACATGAGGCTTTAGTACACCTTCCCCGGGAAACAGCGGGAAGGGCTGTGAAAAAGTCAATGGAATGGAAAACGCGCACCACACAAGGTATCAAACTTCTGTTTAAGAACCAAAATATCGCCCGGCCGGTGGTTCAGGGGTTGAGCGTCTGCCTAGGAACCAGGAGGTCACGGTTCGATTCCCGGTCAGGGCACATGCCTGGGTGGCAGGCTCGGTCCCCAGTGGGAGGCGTGCAGGAGGCAGCCGATCCATGATTTTCTCTCATCATTGATGTTTCTCTCTCTCCCTCTCCCTTCCTCTCTGAAATCAATAAAAACATATTTTAAAAAATTCTCTCTGGCCTTTCCTGGTCACCCTCATGGCGCCCAGACCCTGGTGAGTGGACACAGCAGACGTGGACTCTGTGGAGGCACCGAGGCCAACCTCAGACTGGGCCGGGGTTCCATGAATTTTCGGAAAAAAGCTGGACGCAGGGGCCTCTCCACGTGTCTGGCCTGGGGTCATGCACAGCCCTGGGCTCAGCTGCCCTTGGGGTTTACACCTGGCGGCGGGAAGGTCTGAGACGCCGGGTGTGGCAGGGCTCTCTCCTGGAACACGGACTGTACGTAGGAATCAGGGAAAACGCACCCCGAGGGTCGATGGCATCGTTAACATTTACCAACCACCCAGACCTAGGAATTCTCAGGAGACGGACGGATGGCTAAACTGCCATTTTTAAAAGCAGGGAAATTTTGTCCATATTCCAGGAATCTAGACGGATGAAATAGCGCTACTGATGAAGGGAGCTCGAGAACCACAGCAGAGCCTCATTCAAAAGGATAATAAACTGCTGGTGTTCATTTCAATCCATAACCCAAAGTCCGGAAGATGTCCCGTCTAATTAGCATGTTATGCTTTTATTATTATAGATGTTCTCCAATTGCAGTGAGTAAATATTTATAACAGCAAAAGTTTTTCAAAATAAAAACTCCTTCTCCCCCTCCCCGCCCCGCGACCCCTGACCTCCATCTCTAAGAAGTTCGCGTCTGGGTCCCGCCGGCCTCCGGGGCAGGGAGGCCTCCAGGCCTGAACCCAGTAGGGTGGCCACGGTGCTGAAGTTTCAATGAATTAAAAGTCAGGTCTGGGGTCCCACTGGCTGCACTGCACATGCTCAGTAGCTGCATCAGTGGCTGCCACCCTGCTGGGTGCAGACTCATGGACCCTCCCATCTCTGCTGGACGCCAGATGGACACGTCTGCTCAGACCAGGGCCTCTCCTAACACGGCCCACAGCAAACAGGGACTCAGTTCCCGGGGACTTCCCGTCCTCTCAAATAACCCCCGTTTAGTGCCCTACCTTTTGCCTGGCATGGAAAGGAGACCCTCACCACAGCGCCTGCCTGTGTCACCAAGAACCCAGAGCCCCCTGGC